ACATTTATATTCTACTTTTAGAAAGATTCACTTGTACCCTTATGTTCAATATAATTTTAAGAGAATAGAAAATAATCTCCTTGAACTCACAGAAATGGAAAAAAAAACAGAAAATAGGAATTATCTCTTTAAAAATGATGAAAACTTAGTTTTTGTAATTTTGCAAGAGGATGAGTAGGCTTCAGTTATTTGGAAAATTAGTTTTAGAACATCTTACTACCTAGGAAATAGAGGAGAAACAAAAGTGGCCACCAATGACTGAGCACTCCAAGCCCAAAGTGTCACACCATTCTACACGCAAGGACACCTATGTTCAGAGGGAAGCATCCTGCCCAAGCTGTGGGCAGAGCTGGGATCTGAGCCCAGAACTGCCTGACAACACTGTATTTTTTCTTCTATGCTTTCTTTCTCCTTCTAAAAGAGGTATAACCATCATTACCAAAGGCACTAAGATTTTAAACTTTTCCTCCCATATAAAATATAAAACAAATCCCTTGAAGATTTCAATTGGTTTTAACTAGACATTTTGGAAACAATTAGATGTTTTATATTAGAAAATTTAAAATATTTAAAATATTTAAAATTTAAAAATTTAAAATATCACAGATCTTTTAAAAGATCTGTGTTATTAGCCACAGTATTGTAAAAGTCTGAGGCATTCAAGATGCCATTATATTGCCTTTTTTTCCTCTTTTCAAAGTAAACTATTGGGGTTCTCAAATGCACCAAGATTAATCACTTAAAACAAATAATATTATTAGAGGCGGTAAAGTAATTAGAATGGTGGTAATCACTAAAAAAGATAAGAGATCATTAAGAATGAACGTGAGATAAGAGTCCACTTCTTTTTTTTTGAGACAGAGCCTCAAGCTATCACCCTGGGTAGAGTGCCATGGCATCATAGTTCACAGCAACCTCCTGGGTTCAAGCGAGTCTCCTGCCTCCACCTCCCAAGTAGCTGGGATAACAGGTGCCTGCCACATCGCCCGGCTATTTTTTTTGGTTGCAGCTGTCATTGTTGTTTTGGTGGGCCTGGGCTAATTTGAACCTGCCGGCTCAGGTGTACATGGCTGGCACTTAGCCGCTTGAGCCACAGGTGCCGAGCCAGGAGTCCACTTCTTGGGCTTGGTCCCAGAGCTGCATGTGTGAGGGACTGCAGACTAGTTAAAGGTGGTACCACGTTTGGAAATTCACACATGGCTCACTTCATCTTAGAGCCACGTGACACAAGTGCAAAAGAGGGTCTCTTTGAACAACCATCAAATCTGTTTCTCAGAGTTTCACTAAATAAAAAGAACAGATGGAAAGGTCTTGACATTCCTAGAACAAAAAAGCTTCCAAATGGGTATAAATCTACAAGCCTTCAGAATCTAGGGGATTAATTAATTAACTGCTATCATCAAATAGAAATCTTACAGTATGATCTCTAGGATTTAGCTTATGGTAAAGAAAGAAGAACGTTCAGGTACCATGTTTGAGTGCTCTCAAGTTATATAATTCTTGGTACCAACCAAATTTACACTAAGCAATCAAGTTTTTTTTTAGAATGTGGAAAACTGAGGATAATGCTAGATTTCTAAAACGTCTATGTTATTTAATCTACCATGTTGAAAGATGCCACGTAAATATAAGATGGCAAAAAGACTGGCAACACTAGATCACATTTCAAATGGTAATCTGCAAGGAACTATAAATTCATCTTTGAACATCAAAAAAGAGCCCTTGTCAAGAGACATGAATAGAAACTTTTCTCGCAAGGACAGAATGACCAATAAACACATGAAAAAATGGTCATCATCCTTAATTATCAGAGAAATGCAAATCAAAACCACCTTGAGATATCATCTAACTCCACTGAGAATGGCATACATCACAAGGTCTCAAAGCAATAGGTGCTGGCATGGCTGTGGAGAGACGGGATGTGGAAACAGCCCAAGTGCCCATCAACACACGAATGGATTAATAAGCTGTGGTATATGCACACCATAAAATACTATTTGGCCATAAAAAAAAAGATGGAGATTTTGCATACTCTGTAATAAACTGGATGGATTTGGAGAACATTCTCCTAAAGTATCACAAGATTGGAAAAATAAGCTTCACCCACCTGTACTCAATACCAATTTGAAAGTAGGTGGTTAACAATTACAGTTCCCCCATCCCTCCTCAAAACAATCACAGACCCACACAAGAGAAAATCTGTTAAATTCAAAAAGGGGAGGAGGGAGTTTGGTAGCTTCCCACCCAGTGGGTATAAGACATGAATATATGGCACACTCCCTGGGTGTAGGACATGGTAGCAACTCTGACTTTAACCTCTCATGAGTAAATTATATAACTTAATGGTTAGTACCCTCATAGTAATATGAAATTAAAAGAACAAAAGGAGCCTTTGTACTGTTGGCCACTTGGAAGAAAATTAAATAAACAAACCCTTTCTACCTTTGCAAGCTGCTGAAGATAAAGATGATAAGAGAGTTCATTTTTTTTTTTT